CAAGAGTCAATCACTGCACTGGGTGACCTTGTTACTTGGTTGTATTTTACTAAGAAGGCTACAACCCTGTAACAACATATATAAATCATCTGAAAATTGAAAGCACATTGTGGCCAATGTTTTGACATTAAACGTTCTTCTCAGTTATATATGTCTTTGTGAACCTTTTGGCGTAAGATTAATGATGAATAAATAAGATACATGCTGGCGCCAGCTATATGTGATTATGAAACATATACTAATTTTAATTATCAATTTAGAGGATCAAACGATAAAGTACACGTTTTTGCAACAGAGATTAGCCAAAGAGCAAAGATTACTTTATAAATTTTAATTGGAGTTATAATTGGTCACATTCGTATTAAAATAAATATAGAATATGCTGCTTAAAATTAACACAACTTATATATTTTAGGGAAATTCTATTTTGACCCGGGTCAAAATGACGCCTCCCAGAATTTAGGGTTAGTGTGGGTCAGAATTATGTTAATGCCGACCGAGTTTTTATATTAAAAAAACCCGGCCGGCATCAACATAATTCTGGCCCGCACTAACCCTAAAATTTTGCCGAGGTCATTTTGACCCGGGTCAAAATAGAATTACCTATATTTTATTATCATTTATATGTTTGGTATAAAATTTATTTTCAAGTTTATGTGTGTAATAATAAGGCTCCAGCTCTATGAAACGACGCCGTTTTACTAGTTTTATTGTCCAAAATATGAATGATAATAACTTTGATTAAATCGATAACTTGGACCATTAAGTCGATAGTGAAAAGTATTCATATTTCAATATAAGTCGATTGTGGGTTATATAAGTAAATTTTTTATTATAATCATCTAAAAATTTTATAAATCTTTACTGATTTTTCAGACTAAGCCTTATAGAAAATAATCTTATGCATTATTCACGGAGTTTCAGTTTATCTTTATGTAAGAAAGAAATATACTGCAGCACACGTTTTTCTTTTATACAAAATTAACGTTAAGGTTTTGATTGACAGTTTAATACGTATTGACAAGAGAAGATTATTTTAATGGCCAAAAAAAAGTTATACGTATTTTAAGGTAAATCTATTAAACTATATATATATGTATATATATATGTACACATCAATGGACTGCAATAAAGAACATCTACGCATTACTTTGACCACTTGTACAAGTACGATAAGGCCTAATTTCCGAACCTATTTACTATATATAAATTCACTAATGCAGTACGTTCATTGTATATACACTATGAGGCGCTCACGTTGTCCTTGGGCGTAGAGTGTCTAGAAATCTGCGTTGTCTGCTTTTTTAAATCGTTAAGTTACTGTTTTTGTCTCGGCTATTTCTGCATAATTTGCTTAACCAATTAAAATTAAGAATATTGCTTATTGTTATTAGTAATATATAATTAATAAATAATGATAATTCTGATTTTTCTGTGCTTATTTGACTGTTTTTGATCAGAATCATCAGAATTTGTACATATTTGTGCAGATTCTATGTTGGACAGCTCTACTTGGGCGTTATTCTAAAACTGATTTTGAAGGAGGATTTGATGTTTTAAAAAATACCCTTATTTCGAGTTTTTACGGTATATATATTTTGAAATTTTTAACAAATTTTAGAGTCGCACAGTCGTTATTACGTAAAATTATTATATATACTATATGTCAAATCTTAAATATACGTATAAAATATCGATTCATATTTTTCAAATAAAAAAATGAATTACTAAATTCATACAGTTAATTGGAGTGGTATATAACCGTGTGACATTTATAAGGTGACCAATCAATCAAATACTTGATATCGATATAAAATATCTATCGATATTGATATCGATATAATATATTGATTTCAATATATATCAATATATACATCAATATACGTAACCTGATTTGAGATTGATTTTGATTGATGCCTAAAAAAAAAAAAGATCAGATTTTTTAGGAATCTAATATTTATAAAAACAAATATATGTATACTAATAATCGGAACCATATACAGAATTTTCCGTTATTCTCTAAAGGTTTTCGTGTTGGAAATCTTGCCGAAATTTGTTGCTGCCCAGCATTAATATAATGTGGCCGATAGATTATATAATTCATATAATGGTAAAAATACGTATGTATTGGTACGTATCGGTATCATACAAAAATCAAGTAATCTATACAACTTAATTTTTAATTAGTTGTCAGGTGACATTAATTGTTTAGTCAAATGATGCTACGTATAATTATTTAGTACGTTTTTGTATGTAATACAATGTCTCATTAACAGTTAAATAATTAATAATATATAAAAAATCAACCAATCAATTTCACGAAATTTGAAATCCCATAATTTTTTGAATGTAGGATTAGGGGTAATATATAAATTAACAGATACCCATATGAGTGTCGTCTCTTCGGAGCGACACTTATTAAAATTGGAACGATACAGAGAAGATTAGCATGGCCCCTGCACAAGGATGACACGTTCAATCTTGAGTGGATGCGCCTTCGGGTGCAAAATTTTTTTTTAATTATGACTACGTATAATACATATTTTAATAATAATAATAATAATACAAGTAACGGTAATAGGATATTAAAAGCGAAGTTCATACAATATCGATATCTAATTACGTTTTAATAAATTTAAACTAATACGGCAATTATTTGACTATGCAAAGAGAGATTAGTTTTTTAAGATGTTTATTAAAAGTTTTTTAAAAGTTTTAATGTTTTTTTTTTTTTTGCAATCATATTAAATGTTTCTACACGATACCAATCAAAAAGAGGAAATCGAAATTATGAGTTCAACTCACAAATAAGAAGTAGAAAAAAAAATTTTAAACAAGTAGTTAAACAATGAAATATTTTCCTATGCTCATAACATGCCGATGCTAAAAAAAAGAAATAAAAAAACGAAACCGAAAATTATATGTATGCTAATCAATTAACTTTTGATTAGATAAAGGGCTATATTTGAAGAAGGATAATAGATGATGATGATAAAGAATAATTAGAATTAGAATGATAAAGAATAATTAGAATGATAAGAATGATAAAGAATAATTAGAATGATAAAGAATAATTAGAATGATAAAGAATAATTAGAATGATAAAGAATAATTAGAATGATAAATAATTAGACTACGTTATATAATATAACATGAAAAAAAATTTTTTTTGAGAAATTAATTAAGACACATACATTTTCCATAGTATACTCTTGGAGCAACGAGTTATCACCACCACGAGCAGCTGCAAAGACACGGAGAGTTTCTGGAGATACGTCATGCAATTTATCTTCAGTGATATACCTTGAAACCTTTTTATGTTTTCCTTTCATCTTATGAAAATAACCATTAATTCCGATTTTGGTAGGAGGAGTCACATGAGATTTGGAAACGTGACGAAAACCGACAGAAGCTACTTTTTCTTTT